ATGACGCGATGTCGTTGGGACCCGCCACGTCACCTCTTTTCTGTGTGGAAATGCAGGTGGTGGTGGAAGGTGGGGGGGGGGCCCTTTCGCCTTCGTTTCGCCCGGGTTTTTGGGGATCTCCCTGCGTCCGGGCGGGCTTGTTTTGAAGGCGCCGGAGAAAAGCGTGGGCAACTCCTGGTTTCCTGTATTTGTGGCTCTGCCCTCGGAGGTGGGGACGCTCCAGAGACCACCCATGCAACGCCCTCGCTGGGCAGCCTCCTCCTCCTCCTCTTTTTATAGCTCAGCTCTTGATTCGCGGTGAATTCGGCACCGTCCGACGCTGCCGAGGGCCTCGCTTTTCCTTTTGGGGAGGGTGTGACGTTCAGAGGATGCTTTGCTCCTTTTACCTTTGAAAAACCAGAGCGAGGTTCAGGTTTCCAAGCGCTTGGGGGGGGTCCCAGCGAGACCCCTGGGATGAGGACGTGCTCCAGAGGCCGTGACTGGGACAGGAAGCTTCTCATTCACCCAATTTGCACAGTTTAACCCCAGGCTGGAGGAGTTTTGCTGTATCTGGGTCTGTTTGTCCCCCAGCCACCTGCAAACAGCCCCAACCCGGTGGGTGCTGAGCTCCCCAATGGTTCCCATCAGCACCACGGCCTCTGCCGCACTGGGGAGGCTGCGAGCGCCGACCCCTCCTGCTCCGATGGCGATTTAAGGGGGTTTTTGTCATCAACTCTGCCCCGATGAGACTTCTGCTTTTTGTCTTTCCTTTCTGGAAAGCAAAGAGGGGGGAAAGATTCACCCCCCTGCAAAAAATAACCCCTGAAAAGTGCTTTTAAAATCTGATTTTTCGCTGCCGCCCGGGCGTGAGGTGCTTTACGCTGTGTTTGTGTGAGCGAGGCGCTGGTGTGTCCTGCGGGGTTTGCAGGGGTGAAGGTCTGTGACCGTCACGGGTTGGTATGTGGGCAAACAGGCCCTGCCACCAGCTCCCAGCCACGGGGAGGATGCACTTCCTCGGCTGTCGTCACCCCAAAACCCTGCGTGTGGCTTTGGGTGCCACCGCCCCCCACGTGGGCTGGCCCTGCCATGAAGGGAAGAGGTTTTGGGTGCTGCCCCTGTGCCAGGGTGGGTGTCACAGCATCAGGACAGCCCAGTGTCACTGCAGTGTCCCCAGCCCCTTTGGTGTGGGGGGGATTTAGAGAAGTTTGAGAGGCTGGGGTTTCTCTTCCCTTTTTGGCTGAGCTTTAGGGAGGAGGAGAGGGGGTTTTTTTGGTAGCTGCTGTGTGCGTAGGGCTTTGCTTTGCTCCACATCCCTGTCCTGGTTTCGCTGCCCCAAACTCCTGTGAAACAGGGACCCC